TTAATTGCAGTATAACTGACACACAATGTTACCCTGGTTTCAGGTTGAACGACACAGTGATTCAGTAAGTCTGGACATTACGCTGCGCTCCCCGTCTGTCAGCATACAACCCACTTACAGTACCGCGGACGATATTCCCTCCCCATGTAGTACCTCTCATCCCTGTCACTTAATGAGTTTGTAACTGGAAGCCTGCGTCTCCTACTCGCTTTCATTCATTTTACCCATTCCCCTACCATCCTGCCCTCTGGCAACCACTAGTTTGTTCTATTTATGGATCTGTTTCTCCTTTTTCTGTCTGTTCACTTGTTTTATTTTTTAGAATTGCACACATAAGTGAACTCACGTGGCACTGGTCTTTCTGGGTCTGATCTATTTCCCTTAGCGTGTTGCCCTCTCAGTCCGTTCATGTTGTTGCAAATGGCAAGATCTCATTACTGTTGTATGGATGAGTAATATCCTGGGGTGTGTGTGTGTGTGTGTGTGTGTGTGTGTGTTTATACACACATATCTTCTTTATCCATTCATCTGTTGATGGGCATTCGTGCTGCTTCCATAATTTGGCTCTTGTAAATAACGCTGTGATGAACAAAGGTGGGCATAGATCTTTACAAATTAGTGTTTTTGGACAATCTGGGGGGTGCCTAGGTGCCACAGTTGGTTGACTGTCTGACTCTTGATTTTGGCTCAGGTGATGATCCCATGGTTGTGGTATCAAGCCCCACATCATGCTCTGCGCTGAGCGTGGAGCCTGCTTAAGGTTTCCTCCCTTCTCTTCCCTTCTCTTCTCTCCCTGCTCACAACCAAGCATACTTTCTCTCTCTAAAATTTAAAAATAAAAAAAATAAAATGCATTCTTTAAAAATTAGTGGTTTCAGGGGCGCCTGGGTGGCTTAGTCGGTTAAGTTTCTGACTTTCGCTTAGGTCATGATCTCGCGGTTTGTGGGTTCGAGCCCCGCATCGGGCTCTGTGCTGACTGTCAGCTCAGAGCCTGGAGCCTGTTTCAGTCTGTGACTCCCTCTCTCTCTGACCCTCCCCTGCTCACGCTGTCTCTCTCTCTCTCTCCTAGAAATAAATAAAATATTAAAAAAAAAATAGTGGTTTCATTTTTTTATGTTTATTTAATTTTGAGAGAGAGAGGGGCAGAGTGAGAAGGAGACCCCAGAATCTGAAGCAGGTTCCAGGCTCTGAGCTGTCAGCACAGAGCTCAATGTGGGGGCGCAAACCCACAAATGATGAGATCATGACCTGAGCCAAAGTAAGATGCTCAACCAGCTGAGCCACCCAGGCACCCCAGTGTTTTCATTTTCTTCGGATGGTGGATTTCCTGGGTTATACAGTATTCCGACATTTTATTAGGAACTCCATAGTGTTTCCCACAGTGGCCGCACCAGTTTACATTCCTACCAACAGTGCAGGAGGTTTTTTTCTCCACGTCCTTGCCAACTCTTGTTATTTCTTGTCTTTTTGATTCTAGCCATTCTGAACAGGTATGAGGTGATATCTCATGGTGGTTTTGATTTGCATTTCCCTGATGATAAGTGATGTTGAGAATTTTTTCATGTGTCTTGGCCATCTGGATGTCTCCTTTGGAAAGATGTACACTCAGTGGACCTAATTCTTTATAGCTTCCTGTATCTAAGCTCTTTTCCCTAGAACTTTTTGATGCTTTCCTGCACTGGGTGGGCTAACCTGATCTGCTCTTGGACTCTGAGTTTGGCTTTGCGACTTGCCGTGACCAGTGGGCTGAGCAAACGATATGAATATAAGCTTACTCAGTGCTCACGTGGTCACATGACTGAGCCTACATTCCCTCTGTCACCCAGGGTCATGGCCATCAATCTATGCTGGAGGACAGAGTTGATAGTGTCTCTTCTCCTCTCTCATCCCAGCTGTCAGCCAGCTGGTCATCAGACCTATGAGTGACTGGCACTAGCCCAAATGAAAAAAACCTAGTTGAATCCAGCCTAAATTGCTGACTGGCAAATTCCTAAGCTAAATAAATGCTTGACATTTGAAGCCATTAAGTTTTGGGTAGTCTGTGATACATCATTATTATAGCAATAAATAACATAATTTGTGCATAACTGGGACACACATTTATCATGGGTGTGTGCTCAAAAATGTTCAAATCATGAGATGTATGATCAGTAAAAGGCTTGGAGACCAATGGATCAGAGCTACTTTGGGGATTTCACTTCTTACTCTCTTTTCTGTTCAGTCATGTCTATAGAGATGGGTTTCTTCTCATTGTTCAAGTATCAGCTGAATGTCATTTTTCTCCAGGGTGGCTTCTCACACCAGCCTATCAAAGGTAGATTCTGCCACCCAGGTCTGTCTTTATCCTATTATCATACACAAGACACACCAGTTTCTGAAATGATCTATTCTCTTTCTCTTTTGGAATCTAAACTCCATGAGGGAAACAAATTCCTACTTTGTTAATGTTGTTCTATCACTCAGTAGCTCCAGTATTTAGATTACTACTTGGCACATGGGAGGGGCTCAGAAAACTTCTTGCTCGGTGAAAGAATAAGATGGATTTTGTGATTCTCATGAAGAATTCATCTTCATGTTCTGCACCTCTTTACTTGGCATTTACATCAGGAAACAGGACGTTTTGTCTACATAAATTTTGACCCAGCGTTCTTTTCTCTTTGCTCTACTGAGAATAGGGACCCCCTGATACACAATACGGAATGCCTTTGGAAGTGTAGAGAAGAATGTGCTTGATCTCTATGGTCCTGGGGTACAGAGCAGTCTTTGAAAGTCCAGTTTTCACAGGTTAGTTTACAACAAATGCATAAGTCATCATGATTTTTACTAGTCTATAAAATTCCCCGAGAATAAATGCACAAAGGCCTTTGGTAAAATGTGCAAATTTTGGCCTGTAAAAGCAGTTGCCTGATGGAGATAATGGCCACAAAGGAATATTCACATTGGCAAAAGCAGTACTTGGTAAAGTTTGTTACAGATAAAAACTGAATGTTTTTATTGTTTTTATTGTAAAACATAGGGAAAACACGAAGTTTGACTAAAATAATTTTTAGTTAACGTAAAAAGGGGATAATTTGAAAGTCTGAAGTGTCATTGTACATGATGCAGATCAAGAAATTAAGTGGAATCAATAGGCATTCAATGACTTCATGGAAAGTTTTTTAAAAAGAAAAATCATTATAAGCAACTGAATTTTTATCAATTTTTATATTAATATATAAAAGTTTTTTAAGTTTTGTGGGTTAAAGGTAAAGTAGCAAAGTGTCCCCTAGGCCCTGCCTGTATATGTGGTAGCCTTCTAAGATAATTGGATAAATGGCAGCTTCTCAGAGTCGGTCGTATATCATCAGCATGTAGATTTGTTCTTTTCCCTTCCTGCTTTTCTCCCCTCCAAAGTAAATGTCATTTGCTGGGGACAGATCATCCTCTATTGGCTCAGTCTGTATACAAGGCTTACCTGCCGTGGGGATGACCTTTTGTTACCTGGAATATAATCAGAGGTGCGGCATTTGGCTGACTCATTGGGAAGAGCCTCATGGCCTCCCCGTTACAAAAGAAGGCTCACAAATCCTGTTGGACATGTGACAGCTCTGTTTTTCAGTGACGGAAGACTCCCTGAGTTGTACGGCTCCACAGCCACCCCGTTGTAGGGACCAGAAAACGGAGAACATGGAGTAAGGGGGTGAGGTCTCCTAATTATTTGGGGTCACAGTTCATCACTAGCAGATCGGGAACTTGGATCTAAATCTTCCATCTTGTTGAAGTGCGTCATGAGTAGCCCTGGGCTGGTTCATCTCAGAAACCCACATGAGACTGTGGGTTCCAAAGTACCCAATTTTAATACTGAAAATACCTAGTTCCTCACATGGAAAAAACTGGTGACATTTGCTTAATTTTTTTTAAGGCATTACGAACCACCTATTCTTAAAAATAAGGAAATCACACACCCAGTTCTTGCCTCTCTGTACAATATCAACTTCTCAATCAGCATTTCCAGTGATTCAAAGATTTTTCCAGGGATTTAGCCTAGTGCACCAGAAATACAGATACTTGAGTAAGTGGCATAAATGACATCAAAAAGGCAAATAGCAAAAAAAAACCAAAAACAACAAAAAAAAACAAAAAACAAAAACAAAAAAACACCAAAAATAGAAGACTGTACAAAGTAAGCAAGGCATGTGCCAGATGTTAGGCCTGAAAGGGAGAGAGCTGGGTGCAGTGCGTGGATTTATCGCCAGAGGGGTGTGGGTTTCAGTCCTGACTCTGCTAGTTCAGCTGTATGTCTACACCCAAACCCTCTCAGTTCCTCTAGCTGTAAAACGGGGCAAGAATAAGTCCCAACGGGACTTCAGTGACATTGGTGCAAGTTTCATTTGTAGATGCTCCTTTGCACACTCCGATTTGGCCAGAACCAGGGGGATTTCAGTTAGGGTGGAAGTGGCCAGCTGAGTCTCACTTTTTCCCTGCAAAAACATAGATGCCTTTAAATCTGAAGCCACTTCCAACGTGTCCACTAAAAAAAAAAACCCACCGCAGTGATGATAGCCACCCTACAGGGTTGCCATACTGAAATAAGAAAAACTCTGCAAACAGCTTAGGACAACAGGTGTTCCGTTAAGTGGCGAAAAACAAGAATGACCATGATGAATGTTCCCTCTTGGCAGAACGGGGAATCCTTCTTAATATCAGCCTGTCCAGGGATTTGAGACTAAATCTAGATTAGGAGATTCCTGCGACCCAAGTCAAATTCAGTTACTTACTGGAATTTGCCTTTGCACCTTCGGAACAGCCACCCCAGATTTTGTTAGTTGGAGGCAGCAACGGCATGGGGGGAGGGGGGTGGGGAGCAGTGGCCCTTAAGCAAGGCAGGGGGTTAAAAAAAGGTCAGGGAACCAGGCAAAGGCAGGCGGCGGATGACCCAGGAGAAGGGGGCACCTGGCTTCGGCCGGGGAAGAGCGCGGGGAAGCCGGGGGTGGGAGGGTGGGGGGGCGCTCGCCACTCACCGCGGCCCACCACCAGGCGTGCGGGATGCTGGTGAAGTTGGTGTTGGGCACGTCGTGCTCCACGGAGTAGACGGCCGCCGAGAAGGTGAAGATGCCCATGGCGATGAAAAGCATGAGGCAGCCCACCTGCTGGTAGCACTGGCGCAGCGTGAAGCCGAAGGCGCGCAGGCCGGTGGAGTGGCGCGCCAGCTTGAGGATGCGCAGCACGCGCAGCAGGCGCATGATGCGCAGCACCTGGCCCACCTTGCCCACGCGGCCCACCGTCTCCAGCTCGTGCTCCCGCGGCGAGCCCTTGCTGCGCGCCTGGTCCTCGCCCGTGACGCACTCGAGCAGCAGCTGCAGGTAGAGCGGCAGGATGGCCACCAGGTCCACCAGGTTGAGCGCGCTGCGCGCGAAGCGCCGCAGGTCGGGCGTGGAGGCGAGGCGCAGCAAGAACTCGAGCGTGAAGAAGGCGATGCACAGCAGCTCCACGTGCTCCAGGATGGGCCGCGGGTCGCCGCCGCCCGCGCCCTGCTCCGCCCGGTGCTGCATCTCCTCCACCGTGTTGAGCGCCAGCGCCGCGACGGACACGAGCACGAAGAGGCTGGAGGCCACCCCGACGGCCTTGGCGGCCACGGACGAGAAGGGCTTCTCCAGGAGGTTCCAGAGGCGGCGGCGCTGCGGCCCGTAGAAGCGCACGTCGCGGAAGAGCTCGTCGGCCTCCTCGGCCTGCGCCTGCGCGCGCAGCTCGCGCTGGATCTTGAGCTGCTCGCTGAGCTCGTCGCGCCGCTCCTCGAAGCAGATGCGGCAGCAGCGCGGCGTGTACTTGAGCCGCACGCCCCAGTAGCCCAGCTCCTCCAGGAAGCGGCGCGGGCACAGCTCGTCGCGCACCAGCAGCACGCCCGTCGCGTAGAAGTTGTACACCAGCTGGAAGACGGCGGGGTCGCGGTCGAAGAAGTACTCGTCCGTGCGCTCCTCGTAGTCGTCGCACAGGCCGAGCTGGCGGCTGCGGCTGGTGGCCGCGGCCAGGCGGCCCAGGCGCGTCTTGGGGTAGCAGGCCAGCTCGCCGCAGCCCAGGCGGTAGCTCTGGCCGCCCACGTTCACGTTCAGCGCGGACGGCGCGGCGGGAGCGTCCGGCTGCGCCCCGGGGGCGGCCTCCGGCGGCGCGTCGGCCTCCCCGTCCGGCTCGTCCCGCGGCTCGTCCTCCTCCCCGCCGTCGTCATCGTCCTCCTCGATGTAGTAGTTGAAGGGGCCCTCGGGCCACGGCGGGAGGCTGGCCTGGGAGCCGGAGCGCGCCCCCAGCGAGCACACGCTCCTGCGCGGCGGGGCCGCGTCGTCGCTCCCCGCGCTGCCCCAGGGCCGGTAGCCCCACGACCGCCGCCTCTCGCTCTGCCTCAGCATGGCTGCGGCGGGTGCGCCCCGCGTGCGCGCCCGGCCGCCCTGGGCCCTGCGCTGGGCCCCAGCCCCTGGCGGACGCGCGCCTGGCCTGCACCGCCGGCCCGGCCCCGAGAGGCTCGGCAAACGCACGAACGCAGGCAGATGGCTGCTGGCTGCTCTAATCCTGCTGATGGGGAAGCAGCAAGTGTTAGGAGGGATTTAGAGCCGCTTAGCCGGCTTCCTCCCCCCTCTGCCCCCGCCCGGGGTGACGGAGGGGTGACTACGCGGTCTTCAATCTGTAGGTAGTCAGAAGGTGGCAGCCGTGATGGCTAATAAAAATGTCGCCGACGCTCGGGCCTGTGGTCCTCAGGAAGTGCCCGGTGGGCCTGTGCCCGGGTGAAGTCCGTGGAACGAGCTGGAGTGTGTGGACGCCCGTGTCTTGGCCTCGCTGCCGAAATTGGAGCCTCTGTGTGCGCAAGGACGGAGACTGGCGCAGGGTGCTCAAAGCGAGTTGGTCACAAGTCTGTTCTCCACTCCGTGCGGCCCCTTGTTGAGATCGCCTAAGACCTCCGATGTTTCGCGCCTTTCTCCGTCTGTTGCGTGGTCACAGGTTCGTTTCCAAATGGATTCTGCTTAGCAGCCCTGCCCTAGAGCCCCGTCTGATCTCTTCAGGCCCAGCGTCGATTTCCGTTTGCCGGTTTCTCTGCTTCTGTCCCTTTCCCTTCCTTGTCTTGAGTAGTAAGGACGTATTTCTGGATAGAATCCCAGGACTGGGGGGTACATGGCCGCCAGCCTTTCAGAGCTGCTGTATGAGGCCATATGCAAGCGTGGCCAGGCTTTATTCCGAGGAAAAGGTCTTCATCATTTTTCCAGACCTCCGTGAAAAAAAAATTTTTTTTTAAAGTTTCTTGTCATGGATCAAGTAACGTGCTAGATGCTGGGAATGGAAACGTTACGGAGACACAATCACTCATGGTTTTGTAGGTGATAGAAACAGGCAAGCACAACAGAAGAGTAAAAAATTCCAGGGTGGCAGAGAAGAGGAAGGGATGGATTGGTTTTGAGCAGGGAACTTGTTTTTAAATTCAGTTTACTTTGAATAGCTCATGGTTATGGCAAAAATAGATGGATGGATAGATAGATAGATAGATGGATAGATAGTTAGTTACAGGGTACCCTGGTGGCTCAGTGGCTTGAGCGTCTGGCTCTTGATCTCAGCCTGGTTTTTGATCTCAGGGTTCTGAGTTCAAGCCCCATGTGGGGCTCCACACTGGGTCTGACGTGTACTTAAAAAAAGTTCAAAACATGCAAAGGTGCATTACAGTGGAAATTCCGTTTCTTTCTCTCGCCCAAACCAAAGTTCCAGTTACCAGGAGTGCCGCTGAAGAGACAAGCACTGGTACTCTTCCAGAATACTTTTTGGTTGTTCTTCCAGAAAATTTCTACACAGATACAAGCAAAAACTTATCTCCATCTGTCATCTGAATGGCTCTCTGTGATTAACACAAATCATAGTATACTCGACACGTCGCCTTTTCCAATTAGCCGTGGGTCTTCGAGGTGTTGTTATATGTGAACATAAATGTCTACCTCATTTTGAAAATGGCCCCTTAGTAGTCTGACAGTGGTAAACATTCAGGTGGTGTTCTATATTTGCTCTCGTGAGTGGTGGAACAAATAACTTTGTATGTACATCACTTTATGCACGTTCACGGCATAGGAAGGATCTTAAACCTGATCTGATAGGAACAGAACAAACTGGACAGATACCTTGGGGAAAGATTGAACATGATACCATCTTACACATGCATGAAATGATGAGGGTTATTTAAAAGAATTTTCTGTCCGGTAGGAACGCGTGGGCCTTATTTGGAATGCTGATTCAAACAAAAAGCTTAAAGCATTTTTGAGACAGTTGGAAATTCGATTTGATGGTATTTAGGAACTCTTTAAGAATGCATTATATGGGCGCACCTGGGTGGCTCAGAGCATGATCTCACTGCTGGTGAGTTCGAGCCCCGTGTCAGGCTCTCTGCTGGTAGTTCGGAGCCTGAAGCCTGCTTCAGATTCTGTGTCTCCCTATCTGCCCCTCAGCTGCTTGCACTGTGTCTCTCTCTAGCTCAAACATAAATAAACATTGAAAAATTTTACAAAAAGAATAAGCAATGCTTTTATGATAATGGTCTTGTAATGTAGAAAAGAAAGGCTGTGTACCTTTTAGATATACATCCTGAAGTATGTATGGATGGAGTGATCGATGCCTGAGATTCGCTTCATGATAATACAGGAGAGAGAAAGGAGAAAGGGCATTGCATTGAGTCGGGGCCCTGGGGTGGCTCAAAGTGTCTGACTCTTGATTTCAGCTCAGGTCATGATCTCACGGTTTGTGGGTTTGAGCCCTGCGTCGGGCTCTGTGCTGACAGCTAGCTCAGAGGCTGGGGCATGTTTCACATTCTGTCTCCCTCTCTCTCTGACCCTCCCCTGCTCACGCTGTCTCTCTCTCTCTCTCTCAGAAATAAATAAAAAACATTTAAAAAAAATTAAAATTCACCTTCACACTTCTTGAGCTCCACCCATTTTATAGGTGAAAAATGACATGCGGGATAGTTTTTTTAATTTTAATGTTTATTTTAGAGAGAGCAAGTGCAGAGGAGATGCAGAAGGTGAGGCGGGGGGGCGGGGGCAGGAATCAGGATCCAAAGCAGGCAGGCTCTGGGCTGACAGCAGTGAGCCTGATGGGGGGGCTCAGGCCCATGAACCGCGAGATCGTGATCTGAGCCAAAGTTGGATGCTTAACCGACTGAGCCACCTAAGTGCCCCGCCACTCTCTAGTTTGTACAGACTTTCCTCTTATGCTTCTGCTTCTCACATTTAAGGATTTGATGCATCAAGAACTGATTTTGATGTAAAGTGTGAGATAGGGACCCAACTTTGTTTGCCAGATTTTATACACATTTCCAACACTTTAACTGAATAATCTGTCTTTTCCTCACTGGTGTGTGGTGCTCTCTTGCTCACATAGTTCCATTTTCATTATGCTTTATGGTGGCTGGGCCAGGTAGCAGTTTCTGCCGGGTCCACACCTGCTGACGCCGTTAACGTTACACTAGGCCTAAATCTACAAGCTTAAGATAACATCTATCCAGGCCTAGCCTTTCAGTTCATAAATGTACTTCTAGTGTTCTTTTACTGGCATACATTTTTTTTAAGTTTAAAAAATTTTTTCTTAATGTTTATTTTTGAGAGCATGCACTTGGGGGAGAGGCAGAGAGAGAGACAGAGGGAGACACAGAATCTGAAGCAGGCTCCAGGCTCTGAGCTGTCAGCACAGATCCCAACATGGGGCTTGAACTCATGAACCACTAGATCATGACCTGAGCTGAAGTTGGACGCTTAACCGACTGAGCCACCTAGGTGCCCCTTCCTGGCATAGAATATTAATGTTGTTTCTTCAGCCGGGCCCTGAACTGTTTCCCACTTTCATCTCTTTTTTATATCATGCTCAATCCTGTCAACAAGTACTTTTTCAGAATTGACTGTACTATTATGAAAAAATGATCACTGCTTTTGTATTTCTCACTTCCTCTCTTTCCATTGTGGTCATCCACTGCTTCTTACCTAAGCTTTCGACATTGCCGTGGCTTCTGTACTTATAAGCTGGAGACTTGGTATTGTCTTCTCAAAGCTGAAGACAACATAACCATGTAGTAGATGGAGGCAGAGGCCCTTCGGGGGGCGGGGGGCATACTGAATTGTCTCTTATGCCTCAAATGTGCCTGTCAGTTGCTTGGACTTCGCTCTAGGCTTTGACCTTTACAAGGGCAATGGTAGACGGGTTACCCTACCTGGAAATGCTCTCTACCAAAGAGAACTGTCCAAAAATAGAACGCGTGTGTTCCCAAAGTGGTGAGTTCTTCTCCTTGAAGGCGCTCACTAATCTGCAGGGCACAGGGACACCTCTGTCACCTTGAACCCGGCTTCTGCCTTGAAATTACTAAGATTCCACGTCTTTCCTTCATGATTCATTTGCCCTGAATTCTCTTCTGCCTTTGTTCTCCGGCGATCCTTGTTCTTCACATGCCAGCTGAGACGTCACCCTCACCTGTGAGCAGCCCGTCTCTGACGTCTCTCTCTCTCTTTTGTCCACATGGATCAGCTGCTCCTTCTCCATGTTTTCATTTATGGTAACTCGTATCACTAACATAGATTATGAAGCACTTATTTTAATGAAGAGAGACTTAAACATTTCTCATTAGGGAAGTTCTAGAAGGGCGTTACAGAAAAACTTAAAACGTAGAGTAGAGCGCTGATAACCGCTACGATAATAGCGTGCCCACATCCTGAACTGTATTAACGCTTACAACAACCTGTTGTGTGGCTGCTGTCCCTCTTTTACAGGTAAGGAAACAGAGAGGGAAGTAAACTTGCCCGCGATTGCACAGCAAGTAAATGGTAGAGCTGGGTTTTATTCCAGACTAACCAGGCTGACCAGCAGGTTGCAAAATAGCATGTACATAAAAACCACCTGCAGTGTCATCATCCAAAGAGAATTACTTAATATTTTAACTCATGTTCTTCCCCCGCCTACACCCCCCCCCGCCCCCCCGCACACACACACACAGATACATTTAATCTGGTCATGGTCATACTGGACGTAAACTTATATAGCCTACTTGTTTCATTCAGCATTTTCACAGGAGCATTTTTAAGTAGTTTTAAAAAAATGTTTATTTTGAGAGAGAGAGAGCGCGAATGTGCGCATATAAGCGTGCCAGCGGGGGAGGGGCAGAGAGCAAGAAGAAGACACAGAATCTGAAGCAGGCTCCAGGCTCTGAGCTGTCAGCACAGAGCCCAACATGGGGCTCAAACCCACGAACTGCGGGATCATGACCTGAGCCAAAGTCGGACACTTAACTGACTGAGCCACCCAGGTGCCCCAGAAGCATTTTTGACATAAACCTTACTTTGTAAACATTATTTTAAAGACTACAAAATATTTATTTTGTCTGGTACTGTCTATAACT